TACAGTAAATAATTGGATACGTTATTTGTGGATATGGCATATTCAGTGAAAGGCAACACACAAATCTGTATCATCAGTACATTAAAAGTGTGATCCCTTGCACAATTTAGCAATGTCCGATTTGTGTGATCGCTCGCACCTAATCACTTAAAAACTGTTAACAGTGTATAGTTTATTTAGCATGTATGTTTTTCTATTATTTTTATGTTTTGAATTTAGTTAAAATAGGAAAGTTCATTTTATATGTGACGGAATGTTTGCAATATTTCCTGAATTAAATTTTATCGAACCCTAAAATGAGGTGAAAATCTGTTTCGATTGAAGGAAAAAGACTCTCACTTCACATCACGTGATCGTATGGCTAAGTAATTGCGGTGAAGCGACCCTTCAATGCTCACAGTCTACAGAATTTGCTATATTTTATGCCTTATCGTTAGTATACTCTGTATTCCTATATGTTTTCCAAATTACATTATATTCCCTATATTTCTATTTCAATTTTCAAATAAAACTTGATATTCGTTATTTACCAAGGTTATTAATTCTAACTTACTATATGGTATTTACATTTGGTATAACCCAAAAAAATCTAGTTTAAATTCTGTAGTTTTTTATCGTCATAAGTTAGTTTAGTACAAATTCTGTATATTAAACTCGTTTACCATTAAAGATGTGTACTGATTAACTTGTAATTTGTAAAATATATAGCAAAAATAATTGACCTAGAGACTAAAAGGTGTTGTTATGCACTCAATTCTACTTTAGACTGATTCCAAAGCTCTGGTGTATTGAACTAACTCTTTAAACGTGGTATAAAATTATATATAATGTATTTCATACTGAATAATGAGATATGAATGCAATTAATATACATTATATTCATTGATAAGAAGGGTATGTCTGATGGGAACAGACATGTGAGGCGTGTTTGAGAGGCTGACGAGCATATGATCTGATATATGGCTATTAACGTCATAATTATAGCACAATTGAGAGGAACGGTATCCCAAGGCCTTCACCACAATATCATTCAAATAGACAAACCATTTGATTATGTATTCAAATACTGTCACCAATTTTTGTCACTATATTCATCACATGTTTCCAAAACACTCACTGAATGGCCAAATGATATGAAATATTCTGATATGGATTTTAAACTAACTAAATATGATTTGGAAAATAACATTTTAATTTTCTTAATCTTAAACTTTAACTTATTTTATATTTTTATAAAATAAGAGTTGTATTCAATAATATTATTTCTTTAAGTCACTATTTTTGACTAATTAGTAAATAATATCAATTGAATTAAATTTTGTTGTAAAATATTTTATATATATTTTAAATATATTTAAATAAAATTTAAAGTCAATAAAACTGAAACAATAATTTCCAATAAAGAATTTAATTTCTTCGTTTGTTTAAAAAAATTGACTCAAAATATATGATAAATAATTTACATTTCAAGAGTCAGACAACAGATAGTAAAACAAGTAAAATATTATAACGAATGAGAGAATAAAACACATGAGAGAAGAAACAATGGGAACAAAAGTTATGAACAGATATTTAACATGCATTTAATGCACTGGAGAATCACACCATTACCTGCCGGTGCGATAAGGTATTCAGTATATGTGTATATAGTTATTATTGTAACAATTGCTAAGCCGTTGTAATTATTACATAATATAAGTTTATCACACATTCGTGCGAAATGTGTTATACGTGTCATAATCAGAGAAAATGATAAAATAGTTGTGTTTTTTAAATAAATAAAAACGACAGAAGAAATGTTAATTAAGATAGTTTTTGGTGATAAAACTTGTTGTTATAATAGGTTTTTGTATGTGTTTGTGTGTGGTTTGCATAGAGAGCACAATATTACCCGGGTTTATATCATTATAATTAATTGAGTGTTATTTGTTAGAAAGCCTTTTTCCATTCAATTCTCAGAATATATTATTTGATTTTTATTAAAATTAATTAAATGCCGGCTTTATCTTGAAGTGCGAGTTGTTGTGCAGCAAAACATTAGTTCACAAATAAAACAAAATTCTTGAGACAATTCTTGGAAAACGAAAGCCTTTTTTAAATCAGCAAAACTTGTTTTTTGTATTAATTATGAAATTTATTGGTTTATATCATAGGAAGCGAACAGAAAACTAATTTATATTCTTAAACATTGGATTTATTTTATTCTTGAGATAACAATTCGTTGAAGATATTTGTGTTTTTTGTTTGTTTTATTTTTTGATAGACAGATAAATACTGTATAACTGTTTATAATTCTATATATTTATACCATGTATAGTAATATACTGTATATATAGATCTTGTTTTGTTTGATACAAGAATTTTATTTTTATTGGTTTTCGTCAAATAAATTGTGCAAACAATCAATTGTTGAGAGAATATATGGTTTTATGTATATATAGAAAGAGAAAGAATGAAAGAGAGATAGTTTTGAGAGAATAAATGTGTCAATTAGTTAATTAAATCAAATTTAATCTTATAATTGATATATTTTTATGTGTATATTTAGTTATATACTGTATATGTAATAAATCTCACATTTAGTTTCAATTTCAAAGTTGTTTAGTTTATATTTAGTTTTGTTATTTAATTTTGATATACATTTTAATATTCACTGCTATTCTTCAAATAGAAACAAGTTTTCAGTTCTTTTAATTAAGATATCCAGAGATCATAACAATAGGGAGAGAGAGAGAGAGAGGTATAGTTTAATTGGTATAAAGTGTGAAATGACAAACCAATTGATTATGTATTCAAATACTGTCACCAATTTTTTTAAACAAACNTGAGAGAATATATGGTTTTATGTATATATAGAAAGAGAAAGAATGAGAGAGAGAGAGAGAGAGAGAGAGAGAATGGTTTGGGCAGAGAAAGACGATATGATCACTCATTTGTTTAATATTTATTAACTCCACTTAAATACTCTAAAAAGTTCTCAATATATAATTACTTTTAATATATGATTAATAATCATTGATTATTATACTTATTATAATTTATTAATTTTAACTATTATATAATCATTGCCAAAAAATTCAATAATTAATCAATTAATTAATTTGTTTTTGTTTTCATAGTTTTAATCTTAAGGCACACCACAAAAGAAGAAGAATATATTAAATTTAATTAAACGACAAAAACCCAAATCAAACAAATCAATAGATCTATCGATTGGTTTGTCGTTGAAGTCTATGTGAAGAGAAGGAATGAATGGTAAGAAATGAGATATAATTGATAACAACTCTCTAATCCGAAGAACTCATAATTTGAATAGATTTTTCATGGAATTCAAAATATTGCCGCCCTGTTGTCCGGGCATTCCCGGCTGACCACCCATTCCCATCTGTTGACCACTTTGGCCGTATTGCTGGCCGTACTGTTGCTGACCGTACGGCTGGTGCTGCTGTTGTCCGCCGTACTGTTGCTGTTGGGGGTGTTGTTGGGACTGCTGTTGCATACCATAAGCCGACTGTTGCTGTCCGGGAGCGCCGGGTTGGCCGCCGCCGAGCGGGTGATGACCCATAGTCTGGTGGCTTTGGTTGGGGTGAGCGAAGGGCCCTCTGGCCCCCAACGGAGTGGTCGCCTCTTCCAGTATTTTCTTGCCGCTGGCGAAAAGGCTGCCTAACATTCCGCTGCTGTGCTGTTGCTGTTGCTGCTGCTGTTGCTGAAGAGTTAGATTGTTGTTATGGTTGGGCTGATTAAGTCGTGGTGATGTGGCACTGTGTAGATCAAGACTAGTGGGTCGTTGTTTATTACCAGGCATTGTTACCCCTCCGGTTGGGAACATTGCGTTGTAGGCCTGTTGGCTGCCCGGCTGTTGCATACCGGCCATTGGGCCCATTGCCCCCATTGGTCCCTGAGGGGGTACCTGTTGTCTCATACCCCGGGCGATCATCTGCTGGTTTGCCTGCTGTTGTTGCTGTTGGTATTGCTGCTGATTGTAGCCCTGTTGCGATTGCATGGGATGGACCGGCTGTTGGCCCGGGTGTTGGGTGTACTGGTGTTGGCCCACCTGCTGGCCCGACGGCACCGCTTGGCCCGTAATATACTGCTGATTGGGTCCTCCCATCCGACGAATGTCGCCTGTGGTTTGGTAACCCTGTGGGCCCCCCATAGGACCCCCCATAGGCCCCTGCATTGGGTGCTGCGGCGGCAGGCCTTGGGCTCCCATTATGTGGAGGTCTCCTCTTTGGCCCAACATTTGCTGTCCCACCAGTTGTGACTGGAGTCGGCCCTATCGGGTGCGCCACCAGAAAAACAATAATATTAATTATGGGAAACACCAATGGCTTAGAGAGGGTTCAGAATTTGGATATTGAAAACAATACACAAATGATTGATTAATTTAGAAAAACACATAGAATTTGGACAAAAAATGTGTGAAAAATAATTAAACAAAACATATAAATGGAAATAAATGAAAGAAAGAAAGACAGTTAGGGAGCAGAGCATAGGTATGTGTGATATAAATATATATATGTTTAGACAACAAGTGATTCAGATTTGGATTCGCTTTGAATGAATGGATGAATGAGTGATGCTTTCGGAACACAACAAGTGTTGGATATATTGATAACGAAAATAGTGATGCATTTGTGGATCACATTATTTAATATTGTTTTTGGTGCCAACAAAATATATATTTGCTTTGATTTTGACTGTTTGTTTGTTTTCACAGATTATGTCTCAATGTATTCATAGATAATAATCGATGGATAGGACGGACACAGTTAAACACAATACGAGTATTAAATTAAACAATTAATAAGTGTATTAAAAATTATTAAATATATTTTGTAATTAAATCAGAGATAGCTCTGGGAGTGCACCAAAAGGTAAATCACAGAATTTTATTCCTAATCATGATATTTATAAATAGTTTTGTTTGCTTAAACTTGAATAAAATAACAATGATGATATTTTATCACAACTTTATAGTCTAACCACTATTACAAGAATATTCACTATATTTTCATCACAATTTATGGGATGTTTTCAGTCATCTCTGATTTAACACAATAAAACTTTGTGTAAATAAATACTTATTGAATTGAGTTATAATTAATGAAATAATGAACGACAACACAATGTACTGAAGGACACACTTTGGCGTATGGATTGAGTGGTGGATGTCATGCAAAGACACAACGTTTTGGGACCCGATTTTCAATGATATTTGTTTTTGGGACCAAAAAACACACCGAAACTCATGCCATGAATGAGAGAAACGCATTCTTAATATACATATTATGATTAGTATATCACTTATAATAATCATAGATTGCTTATGGTATGGACAGTAAAGACAATTTGGTGATTTGGTTTTATTATAACATCCTTGTGCTCCACTCCCCACCTTTAAAGCGACTCACATGACGAGCATTGGGATCAACGGCTGCGCCGGTGGCCGATGTGGCGCCGCCACCGCCCGTCACCGAAGCATTGGTGGCGCCCCCGACGGGCATCGGCCCCGACTCCGACAGGAAGTTTGAGGGCACGAGACCTCTCACGCCATTCACTTCGCCCATGAAGAAGCCGTCCTCATCCATATCGCCGTAAATATACACTATATCTCCCGTATTGAACGCCAACTCCATCTGAAAACAAAATCCAGGTTTTGGTTTGCATTTGCATTTTGGACGCCGAAGAAGAAGTATTCAAACGACGAAAAAAGCAAAAAACAAAAAAAAACAATTTTATTATTCAGTCATTTGGGGATTCTTTGGGATAAAACAAAAGGCGTTTGTTTTTCATTGATTTTTTTGGAGATATTCACACAAATTCTTGGAAACATTTTTGAGAAAAAATGTAAACTTTTTTCATTATTCTTTAAGACTTCAGAGTTATTGTATTATCCGATCAGAGGTCCGATCAAATGAATTGAGAATTTACTAATTAATAAATTCATTTTTAATTTAGTTGATATTAATGGTTAGTTTTCGTGAGTGGAGTTGAAGTATTGGTTTATAATAATGTATTTTTGCTTAAAAGCGGCCCAAATCTGAATTACATTTTCATATTACACATGATATTTATACTCATCTAATGCTAACAATTATAGCATTAATCAGTTATATAATTAACTACTCGAACATGGGATGGGAGGGACTGGACGTTACACTAGACTATCTAATTATCTAACATTACACTAGACTATCGGTGCTACTAATCATATCCAACTACTGTTCACGACATTAATATCTAAATTCTATACACATTTTTCTCTAAAAATATTTTCTAGAATTTTGTCTACAAAATGATACACAAATAGGACGGCTATCCGTATGTATGACAATAGCCAGGGGTGGGGCGGCACTGACCTCGGCGTCCACGTTGGGCGACAACTCTTGCGGGTCGTAGTCGTAAAGGGCGACCATTTTTCTAACATTAAGGTGAGACCACGGGTCGGCGCCTGCCGTCTGGTGACCCATGCGTTGTCTCATTTCGGTTTCGTTGTCGTATTGCACTTCAGACACCATATTGCAGGGCACGAACCCTACCCTCCCGTTCGCCTCTCCCCTGTAGAAGCCGTCCGCGTCTTTATCACCAAATATCTGGTAATAAGTATTTTATATTATAATAAATATTCAATGAGTGTGTCTTCAATAAGAGGTATACTTTGATGAGCTGTCCCTCTTGAAAGGGCAGCTCCTCTTCGGCGGCGTCCGGGTTGGGAGACATCGAGAGCGGGTCGTAATCGAAGAGAGCGACAAACCAACGGATACCGCGCTCGCGATCGCGTTGGGACTGACCGGCCATTCGGCGGTTAGGCATGTGGTCGGACGGCCCGAAGTGGGAGCGCTCGTAGTCGCTGATAGCGCGCGTCCGTTGCGGCGGCACCGGAGACATGCCGTAACCGCGGACACCGCCGGCCACACCACCGCTCGTCCGCTGTCTCATCGACTCGAACTCCTCTTCAGAGTAGCTCTCAATGGGATTAATACTCTCACTCGGAGTGTCTTTCGTGATCTCAATGGCCGGTATATTCATTCGTGATATGAGGTCTTTATCGCTAAAATTCTCCATCATATGATGCGATTGGTGTGTGGGATGAGTGGTCATGTGGTGATGGCTTTGGTGGTGAAGTTTTTGTTGCTGCAGATGATGCTGTTGTTGCTGTTGTTGTTGTTGTAAAGCACGGGTCGTAGCACTTGTTCGGGTCGACGGACGACTGGCCATCTGTTTATTTGTTCGGTGCGAGTCGTATACGACCTTTAATACACGGATCAGGGATTAAATGGTCACACAATTAGTCCACATGTCATGGAATTAAATACAAATTCAATATTCAGTTAATTATAAAAAGATATGAGAATACAAAATCTGATAGCCATTGATAGCCATAACACACTTTAAAAGTTAATTTATTTGAGAATATATTTAACGGTTAATAAGTTTTAATAGGAATTTTTGATTACACTCTACAGTATATCTCTATCGCTAACTATAGAGCAAATAAATCTATAATTATTTTAATATATTATAATGAATGGAAAGAAAGGAAAGGGAGGAAGAGAGCGAAGGTATAGTTTAATTGGTATAAAGTGTGAAATGACAAACCAATTAATTAATATTTAAAAATAACACAGAAATAACATCAAGAATCCAAAAATATCCAGAATATTAATATAATATAAATAGCAAAATTCATATTCAAAAGACATCGATTACTAACACATATATCCAGAAAAGATAGAAAATCTCAATACAAACACCAAATAAAACAAAATTGATAGCAAAATACGAATATCTATAGAAACGACACATCACTTATCGGACAGACAGACGGACACAAAGAAAATCAATTTTGATTAACACAACAACTGAGACAACGGACTGATTGACGACATAATGACAACATTTGAGTGATTAGTGCTTATCTTTAGGCAGTTTGAAGTGCCGTTAATCACTACCTGAGACGTTGGATCAAATGCTTGCGAACGTCTCACATAGTTGTTTAGGAGTTGAGTTAATTCAGTATCAGATTCTGAATCCGAATGATGCGTCTGTTTAGCAGAAAAGTATGGCATTTGTTTCACATCATGCAGTCAATCAATTATCAATACAATTTACATCATCTAGATTTATATCAATATATTTTATATATCTATCAAATTAGCAAAAATAAATAAATATTCATTTTAATGTCTAGTATTCAGTGTTCAATGCACTATAAATTAAATGCTAATTTAGTCTAATATTAGTTTTCTCTCAATTTAAATATTTATTTTTCTTTATGTTTTAATTATATTCATTATTTAATATTAATATTCAATGCAATTCTCGTTCTCACACTATTGTAAAGGCATATTCACTATAAAAGTACATTCAGTGTACACTATGTCACAAATTGTCAAATATTTATTGTTTAATGCAATTAAGTGTATATGCAGTACAGAATTGAGCAGATATTATCATCACAATACTTATCGCTATCTAAAAAATTAAAATTCATTTTCAATGTAAATTTTATGTTTATTTTGCATCTAATAATCATTTCTGCATTAAATATATGCTCTAAACGTCAAACTCACGACTAAATAGATATATAGAGATAATTCATGCATCGATTCATTCCTCATAATTATATGTAATATAAATATTTTTTCTCTGATTATTAGTCCGAAAAATATTAATTATAAAATCGTTTTTTGGGAAAAATATTAATGATTTTTAACGATTTGTTATGTGATTATTGGAAAAATGAGAGCTGACTATTGAAAAGCAATAAAGGGTTGAGAAAAATAGCTAAAAATGATTGGCTCTCTCTATAAGAATCAAAAAGAAAAGTGAATTAAATTGTAAGCAAACCTTTTTGGAGTGAATATTAATTGGAGGCAATTTGAGTAACTCGTCGGGTATCTGACACGGCATCGAGTCTTGCGATAGATTCTCACCGGATTTGGTCCTAACGGTGACCGCCTTCTTATGCAAGTGCTCTAACGAGGATATCTCAAGCAACGCGTGATCTCCTATTTATTGGTTTGGCGTACAATTCAATGTAAAAATCAATGTTTAAATTATGTCAATGAGTTTTGAGGTAATAATGAGAGCAGTAATGTATGCGTGTATTACCGGTCGGACTATCGATTTCTGATAATTTTTTATGGCCGGCAAACACTGCATAGCCGGTGACGGGACAGTTGTTGGATGTGCCGAACTGGTTCAACGTGACCGGAAGCCACGTGACCAGTAGAGTACCCTCTTGTGGGCCATTTTCCACTTGTATATCAACGGGTGGATCGGGAAGACCTGCAACAATCATATTTAAATGTATACATTTTGGCGATGCGCTATAATTATTGATTAAACAGAGAACTTGTTTAACAAATTAATTATTAAAACAACTCAAACAACAAACAGATATTGACTGAGAGATAGAGAAACAAAGAGAGCGAAAAAAACGAAAACTATTTTCAATCAATGATTTAAATGATTAAAGAGATTGTAATTACTTTTTGGTACTGTTCTGAAGTCGACGAATGTTGTGAGCATTTCTAGTTTTTTGGGATTTTTCTCGTCACTACATAAGAGCTTTCCAGGTTTGGCACGAACTGACACTCTATACAGCGTATTGGCCGCCAGACCAGTGATCAGGTGCTTAAACACCGACGGCCTAACTGTACGCACTTCGACGCTATTGACGGCCACCACGTGATAGAAGTTGGAGTTACAGGGAATCCAGGAAATGACCGCCGAATCCGACGATATGTTGGACGCCTTCACACAACACGGAGCGAATGGGATGTCTAGAGATAACACATTGATTGTCACAATTTAGTTATTACTATCGTTTCAATGCACAAGTCATGCATTTAAACATTTAAATTAACCAAATATTTGCAAATAACGTACTTTTGCCGATTACTATAGTACAGGCCGGGTCTTTGGACTGGCGACCACTTCTATCCAACGCTCGCACACTAATCCTATGAGGCTATTGATTGAGAAAAATATTGAAATAATGATTTATAGACAAAATGGAGAGAGAGAGAAATACATATTTAGTCATTACATTACAATCAATAATTCTTTGCCAACGACTGGACCGACCATTAGATAGAGTTTTGATGACAAATTATGTTATTCTAGTATTTGACTGAACACAACGAATCTTAATCTTTCATTTAATACAAAATACATTTTAATGGTATTAAGAAATATCTACAAAATCTACAATAATATAATAGAGAGAGAGAAATTGAATATCATTTAATGGTTTAACTCAAACACATCTCTATAACAATGGATTTCGATTTCCAATCGCTATATGAAGTGCGAGAAACAGAGACACAGACAGCAAACAGGGGGTACGACAAAGAGGAGTACTGGGAGGGCAACAAACCATGGATGAGTCGACCCCTTCGACGAGGGCTTTGGTTCGGTCATTGCTAGGAATGGTTGCCTTCAGCACTCCGTCCACATAGATCTGAAACGAGTCGATGAAAGTTTTGGGACACTCCGGATGTAACCATCCTATGAGTACACTCTTGTGCAGCTGACGCTCCAGTAGTAATCGCTGCGGCGGTGCCACTAATGGATCAAATCAAACACACAATCCTATAGTTAGCACCACTTCTCTAATCGATTTTTATTAGGCTTTTTGTCATCAAAACTCTATCTAATGGTCGGTCCAGTCGTTGGCAAAGAATTATTGATTGTAATGTAATGACTAAATATGTATTTCTCTCACTCTATTATATTATTGTAGATTTTGTAGATATTTCTTAATACCATTAAAATGTATTTTGTATTAAATGAAAGATTAAGATTCGTTGTGTTCAGTCAAATACTAGAATAACATAATATCTGTCTGTCATAAAAATATTTATTTTTAATTATAACCATTGAATTGTTAAGTTGTTAAGACATGTGTTAAATTAATGTTAAATTTTTAAATATTTCTATGGATTAACTGTAATTTCACTCAATTTTTCTTTCATTATAATATAGGAATAAGAAATAGGCTTTCAGTAAATCTCCACAAAATAATCAGTGGGTGTCTTGAGATGTGATATATTATTAAATGTACACATATTTATATAGCGTTAAAATAATATAACCTTAGTTTTGACGACAGCTATAATTGAGTAACGAAAGTGTGAAGGAATGGCTTAAATATGTGTATAAATTGTCAACAAAAATAGCCTCAATTACGCGAACCCATTGAGAATCCACAGGTTTCTGACGTAAATCCATTCAACAGTATTTAAATTTAAATAATGGTTTTATGTAACTGAGAAACAAAACTAAACTCAATAAATAATATTTAAATACATTTATATAATGTTTTAGTATAATGTTGTGATAAAAATAGTGTTTTCGCTGTGAATTCATACATAATATGCGAGCGTTTTGTTGTGTGAATTAAAGGCTCATTCATTGTAATCATAAAACCAAAAGTAAAGAGAAGAGTGAAGAATATTTATATGGATTTCTATTTTATATATAAAAAAATGTTGACTCAGTTCTCTCAGAGCTCAAGAATATTCTGTACAAAATTTATTATATATTACACTAAAAGCCGTTGCTATTCATACTTTCGCTTCTTATTATTTGCTACAATTCTTGCGTTGAATTTATTCATTCATTCATTCATATGTGAGAGAAAAGAAAAGTAACTGAAAAAATACACTAAATATTATAAAACCTTTTGGCATATAAAAATATTTTTGACGCAATCGTGGTTTTTATAACATAGTTTTTTCATCATATATTTTATACATTCAATTCAATAATCTCTGCTATTATTTATTCAACTTTTTTTTGTCAAATTCGTTGAATAAATGAATGTCTAAATAGTTGCAGAAAACTTATGTCTGTGACTCTTAAACTGAATTAATTAAATCCGTAATACATAGTCATATATTATTTGAATGAATGCCTCAAACATGGTATTAAATATTTGTAAGAATTTAATACTATTTAAAAACCATGTACAATAAGAGTGTGAAAGTGTACTCAAGAATTATTCAACAATTAAACAATTGTTATAAATTAAACGCTAATTTTTGCAAAACCAAAGCCTTTCAAATATTACACATACAGTTTGCCCCCGGTTTTGACATTTCATCGGTGCTGTAAAAAATATGTGTTAAAATCGAATTCTGTCAAAATCGAAAATGGCTTGATTTGCATCAAAATAACATTTAAGTTATTTTATTTAGTGTTTTTGTATATTACTTCTTTTGTAAGACCTTTTCTAAGTTTTATAGTCTATTATTTGGTAAGAATAATAGAAAAATAACAATTATTGCGAAAAAAGTTCTTTTAGTATTTAATGTGTTAAAATTGAAGCATTGTTTATGCTATAGAGATATACAGAATTGGCTGTCAAAATCAAAATCTGTTAAAACCGGATCTATCAACATTATAGTATGCATAGGGCTCGCCCGTGCTTATGAAAACTTATATTAAAACCGAAATCTGTTAAAATCGCGAATGTCAAAACCGAGGGTAGACTGTAATATGCAATAATATTATATATTTGTTATATAATCGATAAATAGTGGTAATCCTTAAATAATGACTAAAAAGCAAATACCGGTGTTCTTCGCGGCCTCCACTTCAGCCCTCTCTAAATCACTGATGATAATATGCAATAATATTATATATTTGTTATATAATCGATAAATAGTGGTAATCCTTAAATAATGACTAAAAAGGTTTATGGCCACAAGAAGCGCCGGAGGTGAAGTCGGGAGAGATTTAGTGACTACAGAAGTAGATAAAGACACTACAGGAGATTTAGCTACATTAGCAACTACGCTACTTTCAGCAGACATTTTACGTGTCAACAAATCAGTTATCATTATTGAATCAAATCCAATGTCAGCCCACATCTCCTTTTCAAACATTATGTTTCTCTCTATCCAAGACATGTGTAGTACAAGTCGTGTACAATTAGTAAACTCGATATTTATGTAAAAATGTTTTCATTCCTTTGATTGTAATTACTTTAATTCTATTTATTTGTAGATAAATTAATGTTAACATTCAATGTATCAATAAAAAGTGTATTTTCAAAATTAATAAAGCAATATAAACACCATATGATAGCATTCCCTGTATTAAAGCTTACACCGGATGTGTATGGTATTGTCTCCATCTATGAATGTTTAACAAATACCGGTGTTCTTCGCGGCCTCCACTTCAGCCCTCTCTAAATCACTGATGTCTTCATCTATTTCTGTGATGTCCTCTAAATCGATGTAATCGTTGATGCGATGAAAGTCGTCTGTAAAATGCAATCAACAAATCAGTTATCATTATTGAATCAAATCCAATGTCAGCCCACATCTCCTTTTCAAACATTATGTTTATCTCTATCCAAGACATGTGTAGTACAAGTCGTGTACAATTAGTAAACTCGATATTTATGTAAAAATGTTTTCATTCCTTTGATTGTAATTACTTTAATTCTACTTATTTGTAGATAAATTAATGTTAAAATGTATAAACAATATTCAATTTGTTTTAATTTTGTACTACAAGTCATTCAATGAGTAGAATTTTTTAATTTGTTTAATTTTAAGATAAAATCTAATCACATTATAAGAATAAACATCTAAAGAAATTCTCTGATAATTAATTCATTAACAATTAATAAGTCGTTCAATAATCAGATTAACGACTGAATTGAATTAAATAATAGAAATAAAACAACAAAAATCGCAAACATGAGAGAGAGAGAAATTGAATATCATTTAATGGTTTAACTCAAACACATCTCTATAACAATGGATTTCGATTTCCAATCGCTATATGAAGTGCGAGAAACAGAGAAGTTATGTCTGAAAACTTTGCAACCACTCGACACTCAGTCCTACACTTATTCACACAAACGCCTACACCTATTGAGGACAGAGAGAGAGAGAGAGAGAGAGAGAGAGAGAGAAGTAAACAAAGTGCTTAAACTTTGCCTTTTATTTTGATTAAACATTTCTTTTAAAAAGTGGACCCAAAAAAGGCACAAATTCTGGTTATATTATACATGAAGTGCAGAAGAATATACATTAATAATATATTTATATAATAGTTATGTCTGAAAACTTTGCAACCACTCGACACTCAGTCCTACACTTATTCACACAAACGCCTACACCTATTGAGGACAGAGAGAGCGGAGGGACACTAAATGAAAGTGTTTTGCAAAATGAATTTAATTTATTATAAGTCTTCTCCTTCTTATGTATTCAATAGTATTTATAAAAGTTGTGAAATAAATATAAATGCCTATCATTTGGCCGGTATTGACTATAAATTTGGGAAATAATAATTAATTTATAGCATTTCTTTCTGAAATACTGTTTATTCCCTAAGTAATCATTTATTAAACAATTTTGTTAATTAAATCATAAGTATATTCTAGCAATTAATATAAGGGACAGCATTAATGCACTCCAAAAACAATACGATAATAATAATCAATTATTAAATACGTTAACTGTAATTGTTTTTACAATATTATATTTTTATAAAATATTTAACAATATATAACTCAAACTTTTTCTTTTAATCTCTCGATACAAAAAATTAAAAAAAATGTTTTCACTCAAAGATCTATTAATATTATTTCATATGATATACAAAATAAGCTGAAAATAATGTCATAAACTTTAGCGGTATGTCTGATAATTGAATTATATATTCTATATATATTATGCTAAATATAGGGATAAAAATTACAATTAACTTTTCATTTGAACATTTCATTTAGGCTAAATTTTCATAAAAATGAGTCATTTTCACATGCTTTTCAAATATATACTTTTATTGTGTTGAAAAATATAATTAACAAACTAATTAGAGCTAACTTCATTTTAAATAATAAAAAATGTTTTGGTTTTTTAAACATTTAAATTTTATTCAAGATTTTTGTAAATTCTTGAAAATGGTGTTGTGTATTTTATTTAAATCACCAACTTAAAAATTCGATATTACAAAATTCAAATTAAATAAAATGTTCTTTATAGTAAATAAATAAATTATTTTTATTGTTAATAATAATATCAATTTATGTTAAATTGTTAAAATTAGTGATTTATTTAGTAAATACGAGCAATATAAATGTCTCTAATATAAAGTGGTTGAAACTTTAGCCTAAATGTTCAGAGAGTCCCCTAAACATTGCCAAAATGTCACTACACCTTCCCTAACATGTCTAGCTATATACTGAATTTGTACAGAATCTGTGTGCTATATATTATGCTATATATTATGTATACAAATCCTGTATATTCTGTGAATAAGTATATTTTGGTTTAAAAGTCAAATGTGAAGATTGTTTTTATATCATTTGAATAATAATTATTTTAGTAATAAATGTTGGATAAAAAAATATGCATTTTAAATGAGTTACCGTTTAATGATCTCTGATTTGACTCTTTTAAAGGCTAAATCATATTTTATTCTCACTTACTTATCACAAATAGACATCAATGATATTCGGGGAAAGACTAGACATTTATATATTTAGACATTATTATCATTAATGATATTCAAATTCAATTTGTTTACTAGTAAAAATAGTAA